GGCTTCGCAGGAAGAGTACAGAGCTGCGGTGGGGGAGAAGACACAAAAGGCCAAAGCCCAATTACTAGGCTTCGCAGGAAGAGTACAGAGCTGCGGTGAGGGAGAAGACACAAAAGGACAAAGCTCAATTACAGTTGAATCTGGCCAGTGCAGTGTCAGATAACAAGAAGGGCTTTGTAAGTTTTTGCTTTCTAAGCAAGAGGAGGTCTAAAAAAACATTGAACAGGTATATTTGAAGACTGTCATCTGACTAATAGGGATGAAGAAGAAGCAGAGGCATTCAAGGCTTTTTTTGCCTCCATCTTTAATAATACTGATGGACCTTGGGCTGCCCAGTCCCCTGAGTTGGAGGACCATGAGTGTGGGAACGGCAGCTTTCCGTTTGCGGGCACTGAAATTGTGAGGGACCAGCTCTATCAGCTGAATGTTCACGAGTCCATGGAGGGGCCTGATGGGATTCATCCCAGAGTTCTGAAGGACCTAGTGGATGTTATGGCAGGACCCCTCCCAATCATCTACCAAAGGTCTTGGGAGCCTGGGGAGGTCCCTGATGACTGGCAGCTAGCCAGTGTTATTCCAGTCTACAAGACAGGCATGAAGGAAGACCCAGGCAACTACAGACAGGCTAGGCTAACCTCAGTTCCTGGGAAAAATTATGGAGAAGATTACCCTGGGTACTATTGAAAGGCATTTAAAGAATAATGCAATCATCAGGCACAGTCAACAGGGGTTCCCAAAAGGAAAGTCCTGTAGAACTAATTTGATATCCTTCTATAATAAGGTCACCGGCCCAGTGGATGAAGGGAAGGCAGTGGGTATAGTTTTTATGGATTTTAGTAAGGATCTTGATACTTTCCCTCACAGCATCCTTCTGCACGAATTTTCCAACTGTAGGATGAGCAGGTTCATGGTGCGCTGGGTGAAGAACTGGCTGCAGGGCAGAGCTCAAAGGATGCAGTGAATAGGGCTACATCTGGCTGGCGACTGGTCACCAGCGGTGTTCCTCCAGGCTCAATTCCAGGGACAGTCCTGTTCAATATAATTATCAGTGATCCCGATGCAGGAGTTGAATGCCCCATTAGCAAGTTTGCTGATGATACCAAACTGGGAGGTGCTGTTGACTCTTTCAAGGGACAAGATGCCTTGCAGAGAGATCTAGACAGATTGGAGCTTTGGGCAGTGATTAATGGGATGAAATTTAGCGAATCCAAATGCCAGGTTCTGCACCTTGGATGGAGTAAGGCAGGGTATAAGTATAAGCTGGGAGATGGGTGGCTGGAGAGCAGCCCTGCAGAAGGGGACCTGGGGGTGCTGGTCAGCAGCAGGCTCAACAGGAGCCAGCAGTGTGTCCTGGTGGCCAAGAGGGCACACCACATCCTGGGGTGCAGCAAACTCAGCATGACCAGCCAGTCAAGAGATGTGATTATCCAGCTGTATTCAGCGTTGGTGCGGCCTCACACTGAGTGCTGTGTGCAGTCCTGGGTCCCACAGTTTTAGAATGATGTGAAGGTCCTTGAGTGCATCCAGAGGAGGGCAACAAAGTTGGAGAAAGGGCTGGAAGGCAAGTCCTGTGAGGAGCGGCTAAGGACTTTGGGCTCGTCTAGTTTGGAGAAAAGGAGTGTGAGGGTCAACCTATTGCTCTCTACAGCTTCCTGAGGAGGGGAAGTGGAGAGGGAGGTGCCGATCTCTTCTCCCTGGTATCCCGTGACAGGATGCATGGGAATGGTTCAAAGCTGTGTCGGGGAGGTTTGGACTGGACATTAGGAAGGATTTCTTTACTGAGAGGTGGTCAAATGCTGGAACAGGCTTGGTTTGGTCAATGGTCATTGGTCATTAGTCAATGCCCCAGGCCTGTCAGTGTTTAAGAGGCACTTGGACAATGCCCTTGATATGTTTTAACTTTTGGTCAGCCCTGAATTGGTCATGCAGTTGGACTGGATGATTGTTGTAGGTCCCTTCCAACTGAAAATATTCTAGTCTAGTCTAGTCTATTCGAACAGCGCTATTATTTGTGAGAGAAGAGGAGGGAAGGTTGACACCTATGCAGATCTGCTCTTTGCCAATAACTTGAGAAAGACAGAGGCACACTTTGAGCAAGTGCCATGACATACAGAAGCATATTAGTTCCGAGAATGCACCTAACACACAGAGGCTATTACCATGTAAAATAACTGAGCAGAATGTGAAACTCTTCCCTATTTCATTTATACTAAGGTTATTAAAGGTAAGGTAAGGCTCATACAGGTAAAACATTTTCAACCAATGTAATTCAGCGTATTAGGATACTGAAAGCATTTTAAAACAACATAACAAACACAGAATCTGCCATTTTTTTCAGAAGTTAACAGAAAAGATTGGGTCACAGAAGGGAGGCTTGTGTCATTCCATCAGGCATGTCACAGCTTGGTGTCTTCCATTAAAATAATTTTCACAGCACTTGAGGGGAGACTAATCCTGTGACCACTCCACAGGGTGGTGAGCAGCTGAGCATCTTAGAGGAATACAGCAGGCAAAACTCACAAATCACACACATCATCTTCTTGCCAGCCTTGCAACATGCTGTAAGAAAGAAGCTGTTCACGGGTCTGTATCGGTTACAGCAATCAAACCTGCGAGGCAGACAAGAAGGGACCTGCGCGCTCCATTTTCTCATCTCGCGAAACCATACCCAAACAGCACAACGTCAGCACAGTACCTTTCACCTCTGGCCGATACTGCATGCCATCGTCTTTCTTTCCAACTGCGTTTGTGTCATCTGTTTCTAGATGATAAATACATGCATGGATAGCTATCAGGAAAGGCTTATTTCCAGGCCGCTACACGTATGTCACACAGAAGTCAGAATAATATTCCAAGACGCATTTTAATTGCAGTAAAACTAGACACATCCCACATTGTTCCTCCCACACAACCAGGCTGGTAGCACACCTGGTCAGTAACCCCAGCGCCCAGACCAACACATGTCACACCTCAAGCTGTAGGTTTTGAACTAAAAGCTTTTTCATGGTATGAGCCTAAGGTTATCTTGGTGATGGTCTCTTTCGGTTTTGGAGCTGTCCTAGTTACAGATCTAGATGTAACTGGCAAAGAGACGGTGGAAAGCTGTTATTCCTATGGGTAGGTCCTAACTGCAAGACCCCAAAACTGAAGAATCATGCACATGATGAACAACAAGGCAGCTGACAGAGGGTTTCAGTGGGCCATTCCAGCACTGGAAAAGGAAATGGATAAATATTTGTGCAATCGGGGCCCAACTCGACTCACCTTGGAAGCACGCTGTGCAGCCCACAGCAGCCAGAGGGAACACTTCCCACACAGCAGTAATCCTTTTGCTCTCCTGCTTCTTACCCCTGCCTCATGCAAGACCCGTTGGACAATTGCTTAGATTCTCCTAAGACCTTTTTGCTGTCTTTCCAGGTAACAGCAGCCAAATAAAGGTAATGTAAACACAGCATGTGTGTGTGTGTGTGGTGTAAACATACCTCTGCATGGGAAAATAAAATAAAAGCAGGGAGTTCACTGGTAGATGGCCCAGTGGCTGCTGATCAAAAACGGAAAAGGGATAGCTCTGCCAAGCCTACTCATGTCAGAATTTACCAGAAAACCAAAACTGAGCCTACCTGAGCAGTGTCCAAGATGCCTGATGTCGATCTGCTCTTGCCTCAGACATGATGCTTCTCTAACAAAGCATGGATTGTTATAGGAACTTCCATCAGAAGCACATACAGGATTAAAGCTGTATCCACTGCAGTCTATATTACACACACACCTGTTAATTGAAACATACAGCAAACGAAAATTGACATCCAGCAAACAAAAATTAAATCATGTTGAGTCCTGAGTAAACATCGGCTCATACACTAATACCAGGAGAGAAGAGCGTGTTGCACGAGGATGCTGAAGAATTCGTTGACCTCTCGGGCTTCCAGGCAGAATGTACAAAATGATGAATACATGCTTCAGTGTGATTTTTAACAACGTATTGATGTTTCTTGTAGTTTTACTATGATATCAATCTCATTGATTAACACCTGAAAATTAATAACTCATTGCTAGGAAGATTTACTACAATTAATAATAAGACTATGTGGTGTCTGTTCTCAAGTGTGAACAAAACCAGATTAATATTCTAATTTTTTGGGGTGTCAGGAACCCTGAGAGGGAAACAAAAAGAAAACGACTCCTGTTTCTGTTAAGCACTAAAAGAAGTTTTTCTATTTCAAAGGCTGTACAGAATCAGTATGCTTGGTTAACTCTGTCATTTCAGCAAGACATTCATTCATACCTTTGAAAGTTAACAGTGGGTTTGTTATGTTGTATTTAAAACAGGATTGTGTGATCTGAATTGCTTCATATCACATCCAGTCAACACTTTGGTTGTTTTAGACACAGATTTTCCATATAATTGGTTTTCCACAGAATCTCTTTTCGGTTAGATAGTTTCATTGCCACAGCAAAAAGTCCTGAAATTTTAGATGTGTGAATGGCACAGGAAAACTTTCCAGCTTTGCAAGCCTCAACTCCCTTGTTTATCCTAATCAATATGCTGCCTTTTAACTGAACCTCTATTTTTGAAAGAAAGTTTCTGTGTGTGTTTAACTTTGCTCTGCAAGCTCCGCTCCAGCTCTAGACAGGGAAAAGTAAGGAGAGTGGCTGCAGAACAGGCAGGCACTAGGTCCAGCTCTCAATCGAGCTCCTTCTGATGCCGTGAGGGCAGGAAAAGCCACTCTCCATCTTCTGAGGAGGTGCCAGTGGACACGTGATCCTCTCCTGGCTTGAAAGCTCTACACAGGGGGCACATGGTCTGACTGGTAGGAGCTGCCGCTAGCTTCATATCAATTCGCTCTTGTGAGATACGAGGTGGGGAAAAAACTCAAGCTACCAATTTGCCAGGATTTTTATGTTCTTTCCAGCTGTTCCAGCTACAATTAAATGATTAAACAGACGTATGTGTGCCTCAAGTTAGTAACAAATCTCACAGCAGAAGCCAATTCCATGCTGCAGAAACACTGAAGATGGCTAGCGTACCTTCCTCTGTCTCTCTTTTTCCACGAGCACCTTTTGTTGCCCAAATTTAAAGGTGCCAATTTTGCCAGTAATATTTCATGCCTGTGAACTTCAGACTGTTGCTAAAGATCATCTCTAGCGCAAACAGGTTTTTAAGTGCACCTACTGATGGTGAAAAACTGCCCCAGTAATGAGTCTCTCCACATCTTAGGGACTGCCTCAAAGTACTCATGAAGCTGCTAAATATATCAACATGATGAACATACAATAATTTTTATCACTAAAAATGGTAATGGTTGTAAATCTTAGACCCAGGAAAGGAAGTACTATTTTGTGTACATGTTCCCGCATGATTTTAAGCCTAATAAGCCTAATGAGACATTTATTAGGGTTTACTATATGCAAATAAAAGCCTCTCAGCTCAGCAGTTGTGTAAATTTATTGACACAAAAGAGCGGAGAGCTAGTTGTGGTTTGTATGACACTGGCTACGTGCTTACAGATACCTTCGCTCAGCCTGAGCACTCAGGAACCACCACTGCCTGCGTGCACCCATCCTCGTCACGTTTGAGCACATTTGCGTATGCACCTCCAGACCAATTCCTTCTGTATTTCTGTCCAAACAGCTCTAAATCTCTCTGTAGTCACCACCCAAGGTCCGCAGCATCGTAATTACTGTTGGGTTTTGTCATTCCTGGTGACAAATAAGATGAGTTTTGAAAATATTTTTTTTCTTCCTCATGGTGACATTACAGTCTAGAGTTGAAATTGTTTGGAAACTGCTTATGTTTTCATGCTTCGCTGTGTTTAGATTTAACATCTAATGTTAAATGCTCACTTTCTTAGCGTTGCCAAATGCTTGATTTGGGGGTAGTTGTGAATTCCTGATCCCGTTTTTCTGATAAACACTCTCAGTTTTGGCTCTAACGGTCCCTTCAACGTACAAAAATGTCTTTTTATCATTTAAAATTTATATCTAAAAGCAGGGGGGAAAAAACAAAAACAAAACACTACAAGAGGAGAGCTTGTGACGCGTCCATAAGTGCTGGGGCAGGGTGAAGCAGCTGAAGCCCCCTGACCAGCTGCAACAGGCAGCTGGAGCAGGACAGAGCTGGTGACTGCCAAGGGTGGGAACGAGTGAAACACCAGCCCGCTGCCAGTCTGGATACTGGGATTTGCTGGAGGCTTGCAAGCCCACCAAATCCCCAACCGAGCCCCGCTGGCACAACAGACCCTGACCATCTGTCACTGTTACCTGTCCTTGCTGGCCACGGTGCCTGGTAAAACTGACTGAGCTCCTGAGGCATCCCCTGGTGTTTGTGTCCCTGATCTCCAGCATATGCTCCCCTCTTCCAGGAGCCACACGGTCTTCCTTCCAGGCACCCTTCTTCTGCCCAAGGGCTCTGCCTTTTGGGAAACCTCTTCTCGCCAGAGCCCAGGCCCTCGGTTTCTCGGTCTAAGCAGTCTATCTACAGAAGTGCACAGCACAACCAGCTTCCCAGCTGCTAACTCTGTCTCATGGCTCTTTATTAACTGGAGGATTCAGGACATGACACTTTTGCTTAGCTGGGGCATTACCCCAAATTTACAACCAGTCCATGCTGGCTGCAGTTCGGGAGTTCAAAAGTTCAATTTCAGACGTTCACCCTGCCGCATACTTCCAATTATCTGCCCGATGCCATTAGCTACTTCTTTGCCTATGACCATGATGCCAAATGGTACATCTGGCCTTCACCTGGACATTTAACTACTGCTGTAGATGATTCAACAGAGCTGTCTGGCATGTAAAAGCAGGTGACTTAGTATACTGTGGGATAATGAAGAGTTGAATGGGACTGATGTACTTAAAAAACCTGAAACAATTATGCTTCATTATTCCAACATAAAAGTCTGAAGCCTTTCAGAGGGCTGGAAGGGAATGAGTTAAGGTGAGGACATGACTGGGGCATGATGCTCTGAAGGGAGCAAGGCCTCCATGGATGCTGTAGGGTGGCAGAGAGGGGACCAGGAGCACACGTTAGAAATGCATCCGCCAAAGAGCCTGCGTGGGACGCAGTGAAGTTGTCCTTGCTCATAGCTGCTTGGCACTAGACCCAAAATGCAGCTGGGCCTGTGGGAAGTGCCATATTGTGAGATGGGAGCAGTGAAATGTGAGGAGTGCTGCTCTCCACAGAAAACATGAAACAAAAGTTGTTTTTAACTGCTCAGTGTTTGTGAAGGAAGGTAAAACCATGGGGGAGCAAGTTGCTGCTCTGATGCTGCACATCAAACACATCAAAACTGGCAGCTGAGTCCCTGCAAGAGGACAGCACCACCACCACAGACTGAACGGAAAAAAGCAGCTCAGGCAAGGATTGGAGGATCCCCAAATGAACCCTGAACAACCCCGAAGTCAGAGAGCTACAGAGCGCAGACAATAGCTTGATACTGAGGAGATGACAGAAAATCCAACCTCTGCAGGGGAACCGACTGCCCCCATCAGCCAGTTTGAGTCCTAAAGCCAGGCAGAAGTCAAAGCCCAAGACTACCAAGAACAGCGCACGTGGCTGAACCATCCCATGGACCATACAAGCAGCACACAAAGTATGGGAGAAGATGCAGCAGTTAATGAGCTAAAAGTGGGGCCTCAAAGGGCAGAAATCTTATCAGGGGCTTTTGCAGGCAGGAGAACCTGTGTGAGGCCCCACAGACTGTGGGCTTTGTTTTTCTTCACAGCTGAAAGACAAAACTGGACACAGAATTCAAGTCCCATAGGGTAATCTGTTCCCTGCCAAGTCCCTCTTATGCTGGGGAGAGAGCATGAAGAGAGCAGAGGACCACAGAGTGAGCTGCTCAGGGAGGGAGGGCAGGAAAAACTTGAGATCATGAAGGGGGAGCAGGGCTATGTCAAAGGAGCACAAAAGGGGCACCCAGGAGGAGACAGAGAGTAGACCCTAACTGTAAAATGCTGAATATCCCACCTTTTAAGCACTTATTCTGACTTCTGCCATAGCTCCCACCAGCAGCGTGTCCATGTACAGCAGTCCCTGAGGGCAGTGCCTCATGCCGTGAGGCTGGACTCCTCTGGCCACTAGCCCGCTACGGGCACTAGCCTGAAAACTTAGCTTCAGGGGCAAGGGATGCAAAGGTTTTGATTGTATTTCTAAATAGTGTAAAAATATTAGGTTATACAATTAAGAGATGCAATATAATAATATGGAATGGAACAGAAGAGGAAGGATTGGAAAGCTTGTATCAGCAAGAATTATGTTAGGATTTTAATCCACATAAAAAAGGTATTTTGAACAGGATTTCACACCTTATTTCTACTCACTTTAAAGATGTATTAGAACACTACCCTGCATTTGTTGAGAAAACATTGCAGCTTTGATTCTAGCTTTAAATATTTCTAACACTTATTTTTAGGTAACATTTTTGTTCTATTCCTTATAGAAAAGAATAGAAGCAAGATGCATTTTCCAGTAATTACCAGTAGAAATAAAAATGAGGTGTACTGTAAGCATGGGATTTATGGTGTGAGCAGGTAGCTGCACACAAAAATTATTGTACCAAAATGGCTGGTTAGCAACAAAAAAGTAAAAAGAAAAAAAAAAAAAGAAAAAAAAGAAAAAAAGAAAAGAATAGTACCTGTCACACAACAGGTATTAGTAATAATAGCAAACTACTCTGATATAGAAGCTGAATTTCTTATGTGAGAAATTTAGGCTATTTAGAACCTCTCAAACACTGCTATTTTGACCCTTCAGTATATTTTCACAAATGC